ATTTAAGCTTATATACTGGTAGTTTTATTTTTATAATCATTTTTTATTATGCCAAACACTGGTAGTTATACCTTATGTATTTTCTCTTCAGAACAGTTCTTGGCCAAAACCCTGCTGCTTAACACTGTAAATCACACTAGAGTAGGCCCATTTGAATCAGTGTTTTGGTGAGTAAGCTCCTCCATAAGTACTATTGATTCAAATGTGCTGACTCTTTTTTCAGCTGACTATGCTGAAGTAAGTTGCAGTTAGAGTAGGCCCATTTGAATCAAGGGAAGTTATGACGTTGACTCACTAAATCCCCATTGATTCAGTAGGCCTACTCTCATGTGATTTACTTTGCTAAGCAACAGGTTTTTGGCCATTACAAGATATATCATTTATTTGTCCCATTAAATAAGCATGTATAAAAATGCAATCTAAATGTATTCAGTTAAATAAACAATAATCAGGGCACTTTGGCAGGTCACACTTATCTTTTTGGTCTTGTACGTGGGCACAGTAATTTGAGATCAAGAAGTATTGTCATAGTGCAAAGTGTTCTGTTCAAAACTGCTCTGGAGATCGGGGTGGGGGGGGGTGCTCAAAAATGACCTCAGCCAATACCATTCACTACAACCTGGTTTAATTGCAGATATCGTCAGATCTTGACAGGAGTTCTATTCAAATTGTGTTCAGAACGTTTCCCAACTTTCCTTAATGTCTTGCAGTGTCCTTCCAAAAAAATAAATAAATTCCGAATAGCTAAATAAAATACAAAAGACCTAAATGACTATGGGCTAAATGCAACGGTGAATCTCAGTTAGAGTAGACCTGCTGAATCCATGGGTCTACTCCCATTTACAATAGCAGTTGGATATAGGCCTTAGCACTCAAACAAGGTATCTTCCTTGTTCTCTAAGATAAAGTATGGTGGTGAAGTGATCCAGTATAATCAGAATTTCACCAGGCAGCTCATTCCAGCATTCTACCATAAATGCTACTCTTAGTAAAACGAACACCTGGAATTTCATGGCTGAGTTTTAGCCAGCTTCAAATTTGTAGCAAAGGATGATGCTGTTCTAGAATGATAATGTGAATTCTACATTACTTGTAAAATAAGTATGCAATCATGTTTTAGATATTCAGAAAAGAGGGAAATTCTGCTTGTGTCTTATATTCTCTTCTTTACCTAGGGTTTTTTCCGAAGAACTATTCAGAAAAATCTTCACCCAACTTATTCCTGTAAATATGAAGGAAAATGTGTGATAGACAAAGTCACAAGAAACCAGTGCCAGGAATGTCGCTTCAAGAAATGCATCTATGTTGGCATGGCAACAGATTGTAAGCTTTTCCTTTATTTTACTGTGCTGTTTGTTTTCATTATAGATGTTTATTTCAGTCCAAGGAAATAATCGGTAGCTTTCTGCATTTTTATTTTGTATGCTGGCTGACAATGTACGATGTTATAGGACAACTTTTTTTTTCCATCCCCCCACCCTAAGCTTTAATTTTCTATTTTCTGTTGAAAAGCCTAAGTTTTCTTCTGGCCTTAGCTATTTTGTGTGCTATTAAGGAGAGGAACAATTTCTTTCACAGGAGTGGGAGCTGTTTTGGAGCAATGTCTTGCAGAGGGGAGAATTATCATGTTTAAAGATTCGGAAGAATGGGAAGTTGGATGCTGTTTTTATATGAGTCATCCTGCAGTTGTTTGTTTTATTTTTAGACAGGAAGAAACTGAGCACTATTTCACTTCAAAGGAACTGGAGCATACGACTGCAAGATTAACCCTTCAAGAACTTATATTTTATGCCTCTCCAGAGATTTCAAAGAATATCAGTGGAGACAATTTTAAAATGAAAATCCAGATTCAAATGACTAGAATCAGTAGTCCTTAGTTAAGTACAGAGGATCTTAGTCAATAATCTCATTTTAAAAAAACAAACAAAAAAGTTTAGGATCCAAGGAGTTTCTGTGTGCTAGCCCAAGAGGCTGGCTATGGTCAGGTCTTTTTAAAAAATTTGAATCACTGAAAGTTCCTGGTTATCAGAACCCTCTAGTTCATAAAGGATCAAGCTGTCAATGGCTTCTAATCATGATAGTTGTGTATTTCATCAGTTAGCAGAGGCAGTATGCTTCTGAATAGAACTTACTTAGGTCCATGAGTGGCAGGGCGCTAGTAGGATCGTGTCCTGCTTGTGGGCTTCCCATAGGCTTCTGATTGGCTGTGTGAGAACAAAATGCCAGCCTACATAAGCATTTGGTCTGATCCAGCTGGCCTTTCCTTACATTCTCCTGGGGTTCATGCTAAAGCTGTTGCCACCAGCTGATATTTTAAAGTTCTAACTGGAAATAGCAAGGGCTGGTGTGTGCAAAGAATGTCCTCTGCAGCTTAACGACAGTCCCTCCCAATAGTCTCCCTGCCCTGTTCAACTGTAGGCCTTTGTGCCATTTCAGAGACTTGGTTCCAATTTCTTAGTTGTGAAAGTAACAGGGCAGAGGCAGCTTCTTTTGACAAATCCAAACACAAATTTGCTATAAATTACCCATGAGAATACAGAATTAATTGTTGGGGTGGGGAAAGGGGCCAAAGGACAAAATATTGTGGTACCTTAAAGATTAATATATATGTTTCTGTGTGAACTTTCAGGGATCACTGCCCACTTCCATAAATGCATTTGTCAAGGTCTGAGGAAGTGGTTCTTGATTTTGATCCATGGACAGTCTCACTGAAGGTGCCATGATATTCTGTCCTCTATTCTTCCTCTTCCAACAACCAATGAACACAGCTACCACTTTAGAATTAGTTGTATAGTTCTTTGGTCCTAGCTATCCTGCTTTTTGTTGTATCCGTGTTGGTGGAGAACACAGTTAGTTAGGGTTAAACCTCAGGCATTTTTGCTGTGTGCAATATAGCCATTGGCCATTATTGTTCTTAAAATCTAACCATTTAGCAGTTATCCTCCTTCTGTTATTGTTGTTGCTGTTGTTGCTGCTGCTGCTATTACTACTACTACTACTACTACTACTGTTTATTGAAGCCTAAGATCATTCAACAAAAATCACAAATAAAACCGGGATGTATATACAAAAGATATATACAAAAGCATGTTGGGCTATATTTACTGTCAGTGTGTGGATTTAGTTAAAGGGATATGACAGTCAAAGCATTTTCTTCATCTGAATATAACTCTAAAAAATGGAACTGTATTAATAAAGCAAAAGTAATCATTGAATAGCTGATACCAACGGCACATCGATTATGTGCAAAATCAGTTAATTCATTCTTTAATATGTAGATGAATTCTGTATTTAATAATATAATATACAAAAATTGATTAATTTGGGTAAACCAGACTGTTCAGCCTTTCACTATCACTCTTAGACTGCTTAATTCTGTACCAGCAAATTGATTCTCACCTGGGATGACAGGGTTTTCTAAGTATAAAATACTCAGAAGTGGCTTCCCAGTCTCATCTTTTCCATGGCATTCTAGAATTGGGCAGCTTGCCCAAAGCTGCCCAGGCTGGATCCATTTCCTGGGAGGACACTAGGCTCCATACCCAGTTATTCCAACCTACTAAGAGTAGCTAACTGCTGTTCTTACTCTGTTATTGTTCAGATTCAAGACTTTGATAAATGAATTTAACATATTGAGCTAAACCCAATTAATAATCCTGACTAGAGTATATTCATTGAGTCACTTGCTGAAAGGTGAGTCGATGCATATGCAAACCTTATTGATTTAGGAATTTGGATCAGGAATTGGATTTGGGCCACTCTATTAGGGGCTATGTTCACAATGTCAAAAACTACAAATCATTAAAGGGCCACAATTTTAACAAATATATTCTTTAGACAATAGACATGGTGTGATATTCTGTGTTCTTGTTAGTTCCAGCTTTGCCTCTACCTTTGAGCTGGGTGGAATGGTAGATCTGCTTGGGTTAGTGTAAATGCAGTAGACTTTATTTTTCCAGGAGGAAGGGAATTTTGTGTTCTAGATTTCTCTGCCTTCCTTTTAATCTTTGAGTAGTCTAATTTATCTTCTTTACTACTGATTGTATAGGGATTGTTCAATGTGCCTCACTATTTGTTCTGAGAATAGACATCTATATAGCAGTTGCTAAAATCTGATAAATGATGTAACTGTATTATCCGCATTGACTTCAGTGACTTGGAATTTGTTAGATTTTGGAGGGTCTGCTTGGTTGTCCATGGAAAGTGACTTACTATTCCAAATGTTTCCTGAAAATTCCCAAGATAGAAAACTATAATCCTCCAAACAGATTACACATTTCCAAGAAGTGATTGTAATCTGTTTTTCTGTCCTGTCTTTTTCCTTGTTAGTGGTGTTGGATGACAGCAAGCGGCTAGCAAAAAGAAAACTGATAGAGGAGAATCGAGAGAAGAGACGACGGGAGGAGTTGCAGAAAACAATTGGAATAAAACCTGAGCCAACTGATGAGGAGTGGGAGCTTATTAAAATTGTTACTGAAGCACATATGGCCACCAATGCACAAGGAAGCCACTGGAAACAGAAAAGGAAATTTCTGGTAAGTTCTATAGCAGTTCAAGAGAAGCAACTGCAATTTCCACAATTTCCAGGCTGAGATGATGGGAACTGTAGTCTTACATACACACACACACAGAGAGAGAGAGAGAGAGAGAGAGAGAGAGAGAGAGAGAGAGAGAGAGAGAGGATGCTTCTTTTGGAAAAAAAAGGCATTGAGTGCAAATGGCCATTTTCTTTCTTTCTTTCTTTCTTTCTTTCTTTCTTTCTTTCTTTCTTTCTTTCTTTCTTTCTTTCTTTCTTTCTTTCTTTCTTTCTTTCTTTCTTTCTTTCTTTCTTTCTTTCTTCTCCTTCGTTCCTTCCTTCCTTCCTTCCTTTCATTTTTAAAGAGGAGTATGCAAAAGGTACTTTCTGGGACTGCTGTTCCTAGAATTCCCTACTGGCCATGCTCTCTGGAGGGTTCTGAGCATAGTCCCAAGGCATAACCCCGTGGAACAATGCATCTTCTTAAGTAATCCGGAGGTCCATTGCGCCCAGAATCCTGCTTCCACTGTGGTGTGCTTACAATAATAAGCAAACCTTCAGGCACTTATGAAATGAAAACCAAGAAAAAGAAAATCAAATAAGGACAAAATAGCATACGGACACAAAGAGACTTTTCATGCAACAAGTAGACAAACATTATTCATTGTGATTGACTAGGAGAGTCCATAGAAATTACTGAAGCCTGTACAACTGTCCCAGCAGGTGGCCTATTATTTGCAATATTGTTACTGCAAACTTCCATATTACATTCATTAGAGCAATGGAAGCTAGTAATACAAAATGCATTTTAATGTGTTTTCATTTTTCTCTTCCTTCATCTTGAGTGTTTCAGGGCTGCTTCTGAGGGAAAATATTTTGCTTTTGGATAATGGCAAATAATAAGTGTAATAATAAACACAGCATGATGTTTTAAAAACAATACAAATGAGATTCTGTTGCCATTGTCCTCAAGTATCCACCAACATTTAGAAAATTATTTTCAAAAACTAGTGTGTTGTAACGTTTCATTTGCTTTAAAATTGTATATTGCATTAGTTACATTACAATATAATATATAAGAATATATTGTAAAATTAATATCTTAGCTTCGTAATATATGTTGTGATACTAAATGCTGTATGTTAACATTATATATTTTATTTGTAGCAAATTGTTGTTGTTAATATCCCACCCATCTAGTCATTCGACTACTTTGGGCGACGTACATCAAACAAAATAAACAGATTAAAATAATGTCAATATCCAAAAATAAAGAACTAATAGTTGTTCATAGTTTTTTTTTCCTTTAAGCTGTACAAATGGAAATATGAACAAAACAAGCAACTCAGAAAGAGTAGGAGAAGAATGTCAATTGGTATCTCTTTGGTACCATAAATAACTTTCTGCAATTTGTAACTTCAAAGCTTTGGTGTCCACTAGAAATCTTATGTTTCATGTGGCTTATATTTTGTTTTTCTAAATTCAGGGTACTGGTACAACATTAACTTGTGGATGCAGCCCTTTGAGACTCAAAATTTATTTATTTATTTATTTATTTGTTTGTTTGTTTATATGACGCCCACACTACCCAAAGGTCTCTGGGCGGCTTACAAAATTACCTGAGTACACTTCCCCCTTTGTAAAGGAGTCACACCCACACTTCTTTCTAAGAAAATTTTTAAAAATGTGTTTAATTAGAGATATACACTTGGGATAGGAAAGGTGTTAAAAGCCCCAGTTCTAGCTAACTACATTGGAGATGTCAGGAGTAGAGAAGGGGGCTTCGTATTTGTAGATGAATAGAAAGCCTGCCAGCACAGTTGGCCAACTCAATTACTTCTCCCCCCAACCCACCAATCCACTTACAGCATGGCGTGCAGTGTGCATGGGCAGCATCATAGTTGGGTGGACAGGGAGATGGGGCTGCAGCAGACAAGCTACTGCCAGGATTGGTGCACTGATGATGAAGCCGGGCACTTGCACCACGTGCCATTGCCGCGCTGTAAATGGACTGGCTGGTTCTGGGGGAGGTAATCAGGCTGGCCACCTGTACTGGTGGACTTCATATTTGTCTATGAATACAAAGCCCCCATCTCTAGTCAGGAGCCATGACTACCCCTTTCATCTCTAAAGAAATAGAAGCCGAGACTTACCTGAGCATCCGTTGTTGCTGCCAAGGGCTTTGCAAGTGGTGAGAACTGGGGGACTGGAATGACCGGCGACCAAATGGTCTGGCAGAGCAAGGAGAGGGTGGCTGCTGTGAATTCCCCTGCCACCCCCTGGCTAGATTAGCAGCCTCATGGCGCAGTGGTTAAACTGCACTACTCCAGTCAAGGCTCTGCTCATGACCTGAGTTTGATTCCAATGGGGTCAGGTAGCCAGCTCAACATAGATTCAGCCTTCCATCATTCCAAGGTCGGTGAACTGAGTACCCAGCTCACTGGAGGGGGGAGGCAGTGTGTAGCCTGCATAACTAAATTGTAAACAGCCCAGAGAGTGTTTTAAGCATTATGGGACAGTATATAAGTAGCACATTTTGCACTTTGCTTTACTTTGATTGGCCAGCATTGGCTGGGATTTCCTTGCTGGCCTCATATTGGCCACCAGAGAAATTCACAATTGTCATCCCACTGTCCTTATCTTATGATCAGACCTCTTTGAAAGAAGGAATGGCATGGGGCAAGGGACCCATGCAAGGTGGACACTGCATGGCAGAAGGTTATCAGGTCTATTGGCTGCCTGGTAGCATTCTCGGGCAGCTACTGGTTTAAACACCTAGACAGTTCATTTAAAGTGTTGCATCTTTTTCAGGCTGATGGGGTCCAGCTTTCAGACTGGGGGCAAGAAATCTAGTTGTGTGATATTAGCCCAGCCATAACAGATTGGTTACAGCTTCAGTTTTCTAACTATGAAGAACATGATGACAGAGGAGGCAAGACTAGGTGATCCTGTCTCAGCTTGTTCACAACTTCATCTTATAGAACAGGGCTATTGCCTTTGATCTCATCCAGTAAGGCAGTTTGGACATGCTCTGGATCACAGCACCATTTTTTTGAAAATTTGGATTTAAAGAATATGAATTCTGCAGAATAAATACTGTAGTATGCACACTTCATTTTTATAATGTCCACAATTAGGGGATGTTAAAATCTAAATCTCAAATCTACATTGAGCAATACTATTGTTTGCAGAGAGATTACAGGAACTGCAGAATAAGGACAAGGTGGTAAAATTGTGGAGCCTGTACAAAAAGCCAAAAAAAAAAAAGGCCCACTGTTGTTGTTTTTTCGTTTGGAGGGAAAATGCCTAGTTCATTCTAAAGTGAAGCACAAGGAAGGGATCCAACCTTAGGGTCCCATGGGGAAATAGAGGGGCTTTGAGTCAAACTCAGTGAGTTAGGTTTCCGGCTGCAGAATCAGAGATTGGATTCAATTTCTCAATATGCATCCCTAAAGAGCCAGCCTGGGCAAGCTGCACAGTCCAGGATGCCCCCAGAAGAAGGGAATGGCAAATCACTTCTGAGTGTTCTCTATCAAGAAAACCTTAGAAAGAGTCACCATGAGTCCTAATTGACCTAACAACACACAACTATTATCATTGAAATAAATCCCGTGTTAGAGCTTAGGAATGTTATGTTTCTGGACTGCAACACTCAGAATTCCCTAGCCAGCAAGACCAATGGTTCTGCTCACTGGGAAATTCGGGAAGTTATCATGCAAAAAACAAACAAATCTTTCCCAAGCTCTGTCCACCACTGCCATTCCATTTTAAAAAGCCATTAAAGAGAAAATCCTGGCCTAACAGTGGTTTACCATTGAGGGAAATACAACCATTGGTTGATTTATATCTGTAGAGCTTTCTATGGCGTAACAGGGACTTATGGAAGAAACATAACTCCTACACCTGACTCAGTCCTTCTGTGTCACCTTTACCTAGTCATAGACTATCTCAGATGGTTATCTAAAGAGGTCAGGATTTCTCTGTTGGTCATCAACATAAATTGTCTTTTTTCCTTCTAACTTACTTCTAAATTTAAATTTAAATTGCAAGAGAATTTTGTTTTGCGGGATGTGGAAAGTTTCCCTGATATAAATGCTGCTGTATATATTGGACAAAGCACAAGCAATTTAACGGCAACAAATGTAAAACTTACATAATGTTTGTCTCCTTGACCAAGATTCCCAAACTTAGTAGTTTCACCTTCAAAACCCAATGATCAGATGTCAAAAGAATGTCATATATTTTTTAATGGTAAAGGTCAGAAAGTCCACTCCTGTGACAAAGTTGATGCTGAAGGTCTTTCTTTCCTTTTGGTTTCAGGGGAAGATAAATTTTCCTAGTTGGGCCAAGGAGACAACATTAGCTTTAGGCTTTCAGGTACAAAATTGTTTGTGCAACATCAAAAACAAGTAGCTACATACACAATATTCAGCTGCCTACACCAATGAATACTGACATGTCAGTAACTTATGTGTATTAAGTATTTTTCTTCTACAGTTCCTTCTTCTCACTGTTCATAAGGTACTTTTATCAATGATCATTATGGTGGTGGTGTTTCTTAAAGCAGCAGCTATGTACTGATGGCTTAAGCAAATGTAAACTGCTGAGATTCAGAAAAAGTTAAGAATATTCCATGTTCACTATAAAAACATTGTCACCTTACAGCATTTTTCTTTTCTATTATTAGCCAGAGGATATCGGACAAGCACCAATAGTAAATGCCCCAGAAGGTGGGAAAGTAGACTTAGAAGCCTTCAGCCAGTTTACAAAAATTATCACACCAGCAATCACGAGAGTGGTGGATTTTGCCAAAAAGTTGCCTATGTTCTGTGAGGTATGGATTGATCCCTTTCTTTCTCTGTGGAAATGTGATACATACTTTCTTTTACAAGTAGTGGTACATTGTGGTCTGAGGCAGAGTAGGCCTCAAGGGTTCGTACCAGAAGGGGTGGGTGGAGAGACCACCACTTCTTATTGGATTATAGGCTGCCTATGCTTGCAGTTGTTGGAGCAGGGGTAGACCACAGTGCCCCTCAAGATGTTTTTGAACCAAAATACCTCTCAGCCAGCATAGCCTACAGCAAGGAGAACTGTAGTCTACATGTAGTTAAATCAGGAAGGGCAACTGGTTTTAAACTGGCAAAACAAATTTATTCAACATTCATGCTGGCTAATGAGTTCTAAGAACTGTAGTCCATAGAGGCTGATGCTGGCACCACAGGAATAACTGCAAGTGGTACATGAAAGACAGACGCCAAGACAGAGTGGAGCTAAGCATGTGTAGAGAAACTAGTATGCTACTCATTCGTTTGCTTTTCATAATCTGGTCTCTACTATCCATCAGATAGGTCATTGTAGATATTAGGTGTTTGGAGATAACAGCAAGGTGTTTGGAGATAACAGCTACTTTGAACTGCAGCTTTGGGTATAATAAATAATGTTATCCTATTGCTACTGCTGAAGAATTCAGTAGCCAAGCCAGTCCACTCTTGTATATGTAATGGAAGGGGATACTGCCTTGTAAATTGCCTCAAGCAGCTGAATAGTTACACTAAACATAACTCAGATATGTGGGCCTTTTTAGATTAAATGGCTGACACAACACAACAAATCATTTGAAAAATTTTGGCAAGAGAGGAAACAAAAATAGAGTCAAAGCAGGATGACTGAAATGTCCACTTGTCAAAGACTGTTGTACAAATATTCTTTCATGTGTCATGGTACGCCTTCGACCACTAGAGGGGGATATTTTGTTTCTTTTTTCCTTAGGTCAAGAAAGGTTCAGGGAAGGCAGGGAAAATACAGTCCAGGCAGTCCAGTACCAGGCAGTCCGAAGACTGTCTCCCAATCCACTCTCTAAACGCTGGGAGGAGTGAGGAAGCAGACAGGCACCCTTTTCACTGGCCAACAGTGAACTGAAAGTTCACTTTTTGCACTTTCCCTGCCTCCCACATGGGTTTTTTTCAGTTCTTAACTCAAATCTAAGTACTTAAGTCAAGTCAATATTTTCCTATGAGAGCGGTTCTTAAGTCAAAATGTTCTTAACTCAAGCCGTTCTTAAGTCAAGACCCCACTGTAGTTACACTAAACACAACTCAGATATGTGGGCCTTTTTAGATTAAATGGCTGACACAACACAACAAATCATTTGAAAAATTTTGGCAAGAGAGGAAACAAAAATAGAGTCAAAGCAGGATGACTGAAATGTCCACTTGTCAAAGACTGTTGTACAAATATTCTTTCATGTGTCATGGCATTGTTAGAACCATTACTCCATAAACAGAGTCATGCTGGAGGTTTCTTTGGAAATAGTACCACTGTGCTTCAATTTTAGTTTTTAAGAAGGAGGAAATCAGATCTAGTTGATAAACAAATACACAAACTACCAGGAGGAGAGAAGATGATGGAACTACTTTGGGAATTGTTGTGGGTTTTAGAAGCCCTATACTCACCAACATCTGGTAATAGAAGAATAATGAATACAAAGAGAGAGCACAACTGCTTTCTGTATTATTTGCTTAGCCTTCATTTTAGGGTAAAAGTATTGCCATATGCTTTTTATTTCCCCAAACAATGCAAAGTTGCAGAACAGTGCTCAGCGTGGTCTGACTTCCTTCGGAAATAAACACTTATGGTGTTTTTTGCAATATGTGGTTTTTTTACAATTATAAGTGAAGCATGAGGGGAACCACTCCAGCAGACCTACAAACAGTAATCCGTTGCCCCAAAGCTTGGAAACATGGTGGACTTCAATTCTTAAACCCCCAGCCATTCTGGCTGGGCCTGAGGGTTCTGAGAGTCGGAGTCCCCCCCCCAAAAAAATAGCTCTCAAGATACTTGCAGAGTTTGAAATGAAATACATACCTCCCTCATTCTCTGCTTCATTCTGATACTGATCAGGCATTCTAATTACAGTAAATAAGAGGGGAGGGAAAGTGGCAATGAGTATTAGGCACACCCCTTTTTGCACATTTATACAGAGGTAGAGTGTGACATTCTGAAGAGATCCTCTTCTAGCTGTGGTGCCTCTCTCTGTGATTTAGAGCCCTGTTGTTGTTTTTAGGTTTCCAAATCACTGTGGAAGCCTCTACAGACAGAAGAAGCCCTCTCCTTCTGAAAGTTACTCTCTATATGTGACAGCCCAATTAAACCAGAATTTGGGGGAGGCAGTTATATCCCTTTTTGAACTACAACTCCCAGAATCCTTCAGCTGGCATGGCCCAAAAAAGGAGAAATTTTTACAAGCTTACCCAGAAAGAACACTGGAGTGAGGGCTGACTTTGCACACCTTCTGCGTTTATCCAACAATGGGGCCTCTCTCACGTGCTCTCTTCCAGAACATTTTCATTTGTTCACACACAACTATTTACAGTCTTTTCACACAGACTTCAGATCAACTTGGCAAGGTGTTGATGAGACAGGATGAATCACTTGCTTTAAACAGTCAGGTGATATATTTATTAAAATGTCACAAAAGACAACAAGATTTTGAGTGCAACAGAAGGCTCCATCAAACTGAACGTCAAGCAAAGGAGAGGGAAGCAGGGAGAAGGGAACGAATATCTGGCCTTATGTGATTGCCGCTAAATCTGAAGCCAAATGGAGTGGAAGAAGAGAGGCCCTAGATTAGGCCTTGACAGGTGCTATGTAGGTTTCAGACTCCAGCTGGGATTGCTAGAATAAGGAGACAAGAACTGTCTAGCATGGCAGGTTAGTTCAACTTTTCACAAGAACTGGACACTTTTTCATAAAAGATCAAGGGCTAAATCAGTTGTTACTCTCAATTACAAGTCCGTTGAACAAATGGTATTTAAAAGTCATATTTTATTAAAATTAACAAATACATTTAGCCCCAAATGCATACCTGTTACTGATTAGTACATAATGATTGTGATCAGTTATAAAACACAGTGATTTATATGTATGAACTGGGTATATTTAACCTTGATAAAAGAAGACTGATGGGAGATATGATAGCACTTTTCAAATATTTGAAAGGTAATCATACACAGGAAGGGCAGGATCTGTTTTCAATCATCCCAGAGTGCAGGACATGTAATAATGGGCTCAAGCTACAAGAAGCCAGGTTTAGGTTGAGTATCAGGAAAAACTTCTTAACTGTTAGAGCAGTACAACATCGGACCCAATTACCTTGAGACGTGGTGAATGCTGGAAGCATTGAAACAAAGATTGGACAACCATCTGTCAGATCTGCTTTGATTTGGATTCTTGCATTCAGCAGTGGGTTGAACTCAATGGTCTTACAGACCCTTTCCGAATCAATTATTCTATGATTCTATTCCATGATTCTATATATGGCATGTATGTATCACCTACATCCAGGATAAATCTGGTACTTTTGCAGCAAGTGTTCATTGCAGAAAGATGGACTGTATGTAGCCCTCAACAACGCACTGTGCATTTTTATGTATCTTTTAAACCCAATATTTCTAAACAAAATTATTCAAAGCTGTTCTTGTGACTGGGATAAGTTTACGAATTGTATTCACATCATCATGTGTTCCACATGGCTCAGTGTATATCTGTGAGTGCTAACACATGTGCAGTATCACATACCTTAGTATCTGTGAATGATTGTTACTTAATTCATAATTGGCATAAATTTAATATTTATGAAGAAGTGTACCATTGTTACATAGGTCACTATGCATACCATTCTCAGTCAGTGAATACATACTCACAGACTGTGATATCTGAAAATAATTATTATTTAGTCCTTAAATAGTGTAAATATAATTCTTTTAAGGGAAACTGAAGAACTGGATGCCATGCCACTGAGGTAATTCCCCTTTTTGCTACCTAGTTGTAAGCTACCTAGATCTGTCTCTAGCCTTAAGCCAAAGACACAACTTCATTGTTAGGTAAAGAATGTGGGGAGAGGAAATAAAAGGGAAATTGTTACATTAGAGTTGAATTAGATTATTTTCTTCCATAAAGCTACTATTGCCCATTGTCCATGGAAGGACGAATTTCTCACCTTGTTGCTTTGGGATAAACACATACACACTCATGCACAAATGGCCTCCTAGAGAAGTTTTAATCTATTCTAGCTACTTATCTGAAATTATCCCAATAGAAAAGGTACTGCTGACACAATTTGGTTACTATTTACTTTTAAAATATTAATTATGTTCCCCTTTCCCTCTTTCGCCTTTCTCCACAATCTCACCATAAATCCACAGAATAGCACAAGCGGCAAACCTGCCCCAAAGGAGAGATGGGGTTTGTGTGGCTTTCCAGATGTTGTTGTAAACCCAATAATCCCTCATCAACAGCTATGCTAGTTAGGGTTGATGGGATTTGTAATTAGAGAACATCCATAAGGCCAAACTTTCCCTGCTTTTGCCTTAAAGTATCTGCACCCATCCAAAAACTATTAGAGCACTAATAGTTTTTGGATGGGTGCAGATACTTTAAGGCAAAAGCAGGGCAAGTCTGGCCTTATGGATATTCTCAATTATTGTGGATACTTTTCTCATATGCATCCTACAATTTTCCCCAGTCCTTCCATATTGCCCTTGCCCTGATATTGTTTTCTTTCCCTTCTGGTTATGCAACAGCGTAATTTTCTTTGAGAATGTACCGTAAGTGGCTGCACTCCAGATAAAATTGCTCTTTTTTTAACTGTCTCCCAGCATCCTCCAAACCCACTAGGTGCTTGAGGGGATTATAGTCCAAATAAACCAATGTGTCAAGTTCTGGGTTGCTTAACCCTGTAATTCCAGTTTCTTGTACATCATGAGGGAATCTGATCAAGAAGGATCAGCCAGTCTCCTTGTGCATCAAACTTTCTACATCTCAAGTTGGCAACTGGGGGTGAGAGCATATGAGAGTACAGTGAATGTCAATTTTCTTTTTGCTGATGATGACATTTTTAAAACTTTTTCTGCCCCTTTGAGCATTGCTTTCAGTTCTGCTAAGCCACGATCCCATTGCCCTCAGAATGCTTTTGGTAAAGATTAAATGTAATCAGTATGTCAGAACTATAAATAAAACTCCCCTCCCTCTGTCACTAGATAGCTGATTTAAAAATAAAACAACATGAAGTGAAGCCAACCCAATACAGATTTTTCTTTCAATAACTGTCATTTCGACTCAAGGCAATTAGCAGTACCACAAACATAAAAACGAGATGGCCTCCTGCTCTTAAAGATTACTAGAGACACTGAGATTTGCCAGGAGAGGCAATTTGAGGAATGATTGATGATAACAATTTGGAATTTTTTAAAAGTTAAATTTACAGTATTAAAAACATTAAAAATTACTACATGAAAATATTGCCAATATATGAATGCCACGTCTTAACTTTTCTAGACCATCCCATGAATTTCAGCAGGTGCACAAAAACAAAACAAAACAACCTTCGCTCAGGTAGATAATATTTTTTACATGACATACCCTTTGTGATACAATATCAACAGCTACCTGCCTATAATGCCCCCAGGGTACCTCACATTCCTGGAGCCCAAAACCTTGAAACCCCCCCCTTAAAAAAAAAACTCCCAAAGACTTTTTGCATTCCTCCCTCCTGTTTATTTTAGGCAGGTTGGGAGCTTTTTCCCCAAAAACCAGAAGTGGCTGGGTTGGAAACAGTTTAAGAGAGACTTCAAATATAGTAAAGTTGCCCCCCCCCCAGAGAGTGCAAATTTGAATGCAATTTTCTTTTAGAAAAGGTAGTGGAGCATTGGTGAAATGCAGGAGTTGAAGCCAGGCTTCAAAGGTAAGTATGTGAATCTTCTAGACCTCTGGAGGTTGCCTGCCCTGTATGTACCTTTGTTTGAAGATGACATGTGGGTGACATTATTGAAACAATGCCCACAGCTATTTTTAGGTATCAAAACAAGATGAAGGGAAGGGGTTAGCTCAAACGAGTATTTTCTGGAGCTTGTGGAAGTTATATTTATGGCTACCTTAAATCCCTAGGCAGAATTGCCACTACTATGCTGACTGAGGCATTCTGGGAGTTCTAGTCCAAAAAAACCTAACTTCTTCAAGATTTCATAGTTCCAGACAAGCAGCTCTTAAAACTACTGATCAAAAGGCATCTGGCAAGTGTTCTGTCTTCCTTCTTCAGTGGATTGGCATAGATACAGAGGAAGAAAACGATGAAGGAGGGGAGAGGGGAGAAGGGGGAGGGGAGGGAAGCATGAGAAAGTTACAAATGTGTCATTTGAAGCCCCATAAAATTTCAAAAACATAGCAAAGCAATGGTACAATAGAAGTGTTGGCTAGCTGTACCCCTCACACAAGGAGAAGGGTTGTTTTTTTATTTGGGTCTTTAGGGTTGGGAAAAGGACTACCTCTGATTTTATTTTCTGTTGCAATTGTTTGCAGCTGCCATGTGAAGACCAGATAATCCTTCTGAAAGGCTGTTGCATGGAGATCATGTCCCTCAGAGCAGCTGTCCGCTATGATCCTGAGAGTGAGACTTTAACACTAAATGGAGAGATGGCGGTGACAAGGGGCCAACTGAAAAATGGGGGTCTTGGTGTAGTATCAGATGCCATTTTTGACCTGGGCATGTCGCTATCATCATTTAATCTTGATGACACGGAAGTCGCCCTCCTTCAGGCTGTACTGCTGATGTCTTCAGGTGTGCACAAAAGTCTTGTAAGCACTATAAAGTTTAGTTATCATGCTGATAGGGCCATTAAGTGCTCTGTGGTCCTTTTCAATTAATTTCATTGTAATACGGGTATTTTAAAAACATGCTCCATGAAAATCACTAGATACAATCAAAACATACTTTTCAATGTAAGTCTGTAAGCCTATGCTCCCTAGGGAGATATCTTAGGTAGGTAAGATCCAGAAGGATCTCCTTCTGAAATTAGAAAAGGGGGGAACATAGGAAGATAGGAGGCCGCTTTTGTATAACTGCCATCAGACCTCATCATTTAACCTAATATTGTCAACTCTGACAATATTTTCTGTAAATGTGGAGAAAGGCAATCCATTCAGCATTTATGCACATATAATTTATGCCCCATGATGTGCAGTAAAGAAGTTCTCAAAAATGGACAAGCAGCCCACATCTAGTCAAAAATAGTCTAAATCATTTTAACATTTTAAATTTGTCTAAACTTTATATTTCATATATGTCCATAATTTTGAATTGTGCAACACTCTGACATGAATAAAGATAAGAAAGAAATAAGAAGATCATATCTGACTGACCACAGGTCCCCAGGATTTCAAACAGGTTCCCTGGAGTTCACAAGCAACCTCCTGTACAAATACTAACCATGTCTAACCTTGCTTAGCAGCCAAAATCAAGAGGGATATCTCATCTCTCTCCAAACAGAAGAGTGGTATGAGGTCTCTGCATTACTAATTGCAGAACATTGAGCATTACATTTTGGCATACACTTTTCTGGTCATTCAGGGCTTTGTGGAACTGTAGCACGAAAAACCAAAACATTCCTTTCACAAAATCTGCTCTGTGGTGGAAACCTTTTCTGCTCTTCAATAATGGTGTAAAACTGAAGAAGGACGGGAGAAGGGCATGCCCGAGTGATTCACAGGAATACTAGAAACAAATAACATTGTGCACACAAAAGTTAAAGAACTGACAGAAAGGTAATATATCAAAGGACTGTGGAAAATCTTAAAATCAAAATGAAATGGGGGAAATACAACCAAAGCCATAAACTTATGGGCAGTTCCAGTAATTAGATACCCAGCTGGAATAATATGTTGAACTCAGTCATTAGGGCTTTCAGAACAATATCAAGAAATTTCACACAGTACTATAAGCAGTTGCAGATATCAGAAATCACACTATCAGAGCTACAAAAAATGGCATTATTAGGAACAACATACATACTGCCCCGACATTTAACATACTTAGGTTTTTGGTTAAAACTTGTAGTTATATAATACCAGTCAACGTTTTTATCATTTTGATTGACTGTGCCTGGTATTTTTGAATAATAATAATAATAACATCAAAACTACAAAACCCTGCAATATTAAGAACAACGTACATACTACATTGATATTTAACAAGATAGGTTTTTGGTTAAAACTTGTATCTGTTATATAATACCAGCCAATGTTTTTATCATTTTGATTAACTGTGCCTGGTGTTTTTTAAATTATAATAACAATACATTATTTATTCTGACTGTGTCAGGGTGGATTTCCACTGGGAAATATAATGGAACCTCACTCAATCATATCTATTTCTCAGATACAATAAAAGCATTCACAAGGAGAATGGAATGGATGGGAATGAATAACTTGGATTTTTTTGTTGATGATGTTTTTGTTTGTTTTTTTGCATTCTACTTTACACAGATCGCCCGGGTCTTGTCAGCGTGGAGAGGATAGAAAAATGTCAAGAGGGCTTCCTTCTCGCATTTGAACACTACATTAATTACAGAAAGCACCACATTGCACACTTTTGGCCAAAACTGCTCATGAAAGTGACGGACCTACGGATGATTGGAGCCTGTCACGCCAGCCGCTTCCTGCACATGAAGGTGGAATGCCCAACCGAACTCTTTCCCCCTCTGTTTCTGGAAGTTTTTGAGGACTGAAAAAAGACAGGAGAGATTCACTGAATTCTAATAGCACTACTGGGTGTCATTTCATTCCATTGCCTCGTGTTCTCCCCTTGGCCCATTTTGTTCCCTTTTTTATTTTTGGTTGGAGGATTATTTTTAATAGGCATGAATGAATATGTCCCTTCAATGCGGGTACTTGTGATGATTGCATTTTTTTTCTGTGTGTGTCTGTGTGTGTGTTCTGTGTGTTTGTGTGGGCACATGTTCTTTTCAGTCCTTGCGATGTGAATCCTTTGAGCATTTGACAATGAGAGTTTAAGTGAATCGGTTTCATCTACCAGCACTCAGGCAATCACAAGCTCACAATCATTGTTGTTTGGAGAGAGGTGAGAGAATAAGCTGAAGTGTCAGGAGATGACTAGCTGATCAGGTCCTTGTATTTTTAAATTCTGCCATATTTTTTACAGTGTTAGGTCAGTTTCAGGACATGAGACTCTTTGCTGAAATATTCATCACAATCTAGTAAGTGTTAAGTCATTCCCAAATTAGAAGGACTTAAAATGCAATCCTATACATGTCTGCACAGAAGTCAGCCCTATTGAGTTCACTGGGATTTGCTCTCAAATCCATTTGTATAGGGCTGCAGCCTTAGCCATGCCTAACTTTAACTTGGTCATACCAAGTAAATAATGTGTGGCTGCTCTTAAGGAAACATATTTCAGTTTAGCCAAAGCCTTCCACCACTGCCATAACTACATTATTACTCTGCAATGAGTCAGACATTGTTAATTCTTATCAGCTCTTCTTATAACCTGATAATTGACCATTATACGAAAACGTAGACAGCATCCATCAGTTGCTCCTGTTATTTATATTTTACATGGAGTGTATAGGTATGAGACAGGCCTACTATAAGAAGTGACATTCTGATGCTATATAGTTCCAGGACTCCTAAAATCAATTTGACTTTGCCTAAAAAAACAGGATGTGAGATGTCACATTCACCATTCAAGCCTTCTGTTTTGTTTGTTTGCTTGCTTGCTTCTTCATTTGTTGCAATCTTGATGGTGCTGGCCTCAGTCCATTCATCTCTTTTTGCTGTAACAGGCTCACTAAAAACTCCTTCCCATAAAGACTGCTTCATTCATTTCCATTGAAACATCAGGCCCACAGGAGCACAAACATCTAAACAGATGTTTGTGTGCTTGTGTGTGCAAGTATGTAAAGTGCTTTGCACATTTCAGATGGCTTCTGAGTTTGAGCAATTTGCTTGAAAGGAAGACCACGAGTTTCCCTAACAACAACATGATCCTAGAAAATAGGCAAAAGAAATTGGAGTTGCCCCAAAATAGAAATGTACTACAGTGGGGTCTCGACTTACGAACTTAATCCGTATTGGAAGGCAGTTCTCAGGTCGAAAAGTTCTTAAGTCGAATCTGCATTTCCCATAGGAATGCATTGAAAACCATTTAATCCGTATCTGCTCTTTTTGTCCATAGAAACTAATGGGAAGCTGCTATTCCACCTTCTGCCACTAGAGGGGGATATTTTTTCTTTTTTTCTTTTAACCTAAGATGACTTAGCTTTTTAAAAAAGGGGAAAAAAGAGTTCGTACCTCGAATCTAAGTTCGTAAGTCGAGTCCATATATTCCTATGAGAGCAGGTCGTAAGTCGAAACGTTCGTATGTCGAGCCGTTCGCAAGTCGAGACCCCACTGTATATGTTTTTTCTTAGAACCCTGGAGCATTATCGTAAGTCGAGACCCCACTGTATATGTTTTATTCTTAGAACCCTGGAGCATTAGCTCAGCTATTCTTGCCACTAGCATTGTGGCTTGTTATCTACTCTTTCGTCACCAGGGGTGGAATAGTGAGATAAAGAAATGATCTTCTGAATGATCTTCTCCATAGATTAACTCTGAAGATCATTTCTAATGGTAAGCTAAATTGTGAAGTTGGTCCATGGGGAACTTAGATGATCTCTGCCTATAATAACTCCAAAGCAAAATCAGCCACAGATGAAAAATGATTTTTAAGCATTGTACAAATCTAGGTGCCTCGTACAATGGTGGCAATTTTGATGCATCAAGATGGAGAAAAGACTTCTAGGAAGAAGAGATGCACTTTTTCCTGTTGACTTCCTGTTAATGAGAAATTCACTTTGTACAACAGAAGTTGTGCCAGAGTGATTAGAATAATTCTAATGGTGATATCATTAGGAGATCTTCTATTTCTGTTCCACGCAGTTTTGGAAAGATATAGCCTCTTTGCTACAAATTGTTCCCTGTTCAGTGTGATGCACCAGAAGATACCTCTTCTTCTTTTGTCTTCTTTGTTTCTTTCTTTGGCAACGTTTTTTTTACTCTTCAAGTATCTGACATATCAATGTGCAACCAAAATTACACACTTTGTCTGCCCATTTAGGATCACTTTAACAGTGACTGCAGTCAAGTGCCAGGATCTAAGAAAGTGTGCATCCATACAACGAAGGAGCTTGGCCTCTTCAGCAGCAGTTTGCATGCCATTGGGCAAATTGTCTTTGCAACAGAGAGGAATTCCAGATACAGTGGCATTGTAATTTGTTATGTCAAGGAAACTAAAATCTGAGTATAAACCCTTTGATGCACCTAAAGAGATTTTTGGCAGATATAGTTTGTAAGTGTGTGCGTGCGTGCGTGCGTGCATGTGTGTGTGTGTGTGTGTAATAACACTTCCTAAATATCTCAACTACCATGGTCTTGGGATATTTTCGGAATTGTACTAAAACAAAACACAGATGTTTTCAATCTGTGGCTTTGGATTCAAATAGATGGTTCAAAATCTAGATTCAGATTGCCACATTGCCCATCTGTGGCAAATTCTGCACTCAGGTAGACTGTCACTGTGGACAAAGTGAGAGTACTAAAGTTCTTTTCAACCATGCCCATTCCATTAGCAAAGGAGTTCTTTTGAATTATCATCACAGTTTGATTTACAATAGCCATGCTGGCTGTGGATTCTAGTTGCTGTCGTAAAAAAAGGCATGTTTCCAAACTAGTTGCATTGATTTTAAAGGCTTTGTTTTGAGCGTGATTAAGTTTAGGGTCAGGCCAGTGATCTCAATGGCTTCATTATGTCTTATGGTAGTAAATGCCAGAACTTGCCAACATATTTTTTGCACGGTCTATATCAGGCTGGACAATTGTGACCTTCCAGGTATTTTGGCCTGTGATTCCCATCAGCCTTGGCCAGGATAGCTGATGTTGAACCCCTGGTCTAGATGAAAGTGGGTGCTTTAAAACAGAAACTTGAAGAAACCAGAGATAGCTTTATGACTTCAGTTTTTAAAGAGTCTATAAAACAGGTCTATACAGTACGTTGAATTATCAGCAGCTGGACCAGGATCTAAGTAGGATGGGACAAAGGCATCTTATCCTGCTAGTGTGGGATAATTTTAGCCCCACTTACCACTCAGATCACTAGCTGCTGATGCTTACATTTGCTTTTCTCTAAAGTCCATCTGAGTAGGAGAATAACTCAGACCATGGAATGTGTTAAGTAATGTCAGTGAGAAAACATTTTTGATCATTTGGTGCAGAAGGAAGAGAAGGGAGTGTCAAGTATATATCCTAAAACATATGGTCGATGTCTGTTTTTTCCCCAATATTTCCCCATCACTTTTTTTCCATTGAGGCCACCTCACAGGAGAAGTGGTCTTCTGATGGAACCAGATAAGGCAGCAAAATTAACATTGTCTGACCAAACAGAGAGAAAGGCATTGCCTCTGTAGAGACATTTGCAGACTTAAATGTGAAGGCTTTCATTTTACAAGTTTCTGATGATGTGAGCATATGCATAAGTTCAAGGTAAACATCACACAATCTTTTACCAGCTCAAGACTTTTAAATGCCCTGTTTCCTTGAAAATAAGACCTAACCTGAAAATAAGCCCTAATGCATTTTTGGAGCAAAAATTAATATAAGCCGCCTAGAGTGGTCGAGTAGACCAGATAGGCGGGGTATGGATCAAATAAATAAATAAATAAATAAATAAATAAATAAATAAATAAATAAATAAATAAATAAATAAATAAATAAATAAATAAATAAATAAATAAATAAATAAATAAATAAATAAATAAATAAATAAATAAATAAATAAATAAATAAATAAATAAATAAATAAATAAATAAATAAATAAATAAATAAATAAATAAATAAATAAATAAATAAATAATTTTCAGGGAAACACAGTATGATTGGATCTGCTCAGGGAACTTCTTAAAAATTGAATACATTTGAAATGTACAGATTCCACCCAGGTAAATATTGCTTTCAAGCATCTGCCTTTCATGATATTTACTGACAAATATATAGGAAGTTTTAACTGACCCTCACCAGCTTTTTGGTAAGGACATGAATAGAGTTTTAAAATGCTGCAGCATAATCTTTGTGAATGCACCTGCAGGCTCTGTTGAAAAAGATGCTGCTAGTTATGTTTCTTGAAAATCTTTGGAACCAGCCCTAATAATAGGGAAGAGGTTGAGAATTTGAAATGCAGCACTGCGGAAATCTCATCTCTTTTGTAATTTTTTTAAAGCTGCTGCAACTCGGCTGAGAAATTGGAATAGAGCCATGACACTGGGAAAGGAAGGGTTTCACCCTTCCACTCCTCCCATTTGAGCTAAACATTGTTCACTAGTTCCTATGTGCTTGGTTAGGAAAAGCATATAGTTTTCTCTAACAGAGGAAGTACCAGCTTGTGGTAACAGGTTTAGCATAGAGTGTGGAAAGAAACAGTGCTAAAAACAAAAATAAGACTCCCTGGTATTATACAGCTGACCAAATCCTCCTTCTTTTCCCATGGTTGAAATACTATCCATATTTACTCCCATGTAAGTGTGTATAGGTTTACATAAGAAAAAAGAAAGCCCATGCAGTAATACTTTTCTAATGCCTTACCTGATTTGGCCCTAACCCTGCGTTGTAATTGGTGAGACTTTCTAAGAAGTAATCACAACTCAGAACACTGCATGCATTGCTTCTCTCTCATGGAAAGCAAGGACTCCTAGCCAGTTATTGGCTCTAATGCAAGTAGAGCTGCAGAGTATTCCCATTGTCTATGGGCAGTGGGGAAACTGTCCTCCAGATGCAGTGAGGAGTCCCACTGTTCATACAAAGCATTTCCTCCTCATAGGAAAGACCAGTGCCGTTCGCAGGTTTTGATGGCACTTAGCATTTGGGATTACTGTCCAGCATCAGATAGGAAGTGCTCTTTGTTATCCATTATTCTAAAAAAATTAAACCACAATTAAAGCAAAAATGTGAAGAGTACTCTTTGTTTAGGAATGCCTACTGTGTTGCACAGACACTTAACTCACTGAGTTGTGTTTCCCATAGCCATTTGTTGCAATTCTAAATATAGCCATTCTTCACTTCCAAGAGGCTTAGTCTAGCCAAGTATAGTAAAGGTGTCCTGGTTTCAGTCACTCCAGTTTTCATTTGTAACTCCACAGACTTTTCAACTCTTTCCCTTCCATTTACACCAGAAAGAAAAAGCAGGGAAAGGAAAAGAGAGAGAGCAGAATTGGGACCTATGGTACGATCTAATTCCTCATTTTTAAAAAACTGAATGTAGTACCCAATCCTACAAAGGTTGGTACATTATCTATAAAAATGGTCAAATCACAGACAGTATCTTGAGTAATCATTGCAGTGTTGCAGTGGTAACGCCTACACTCAGTATCTGTTCTGTATGGGGTGGTCCTTTTGAGCTGAATTATTTGCCATGGCAATAGTGCTGCTTTTCTATGGTGCCACAAGGCTTTCAATTTTGCTTTCTGCTCTAGGTGTAATTGCGGCGAAGTGTTTTAGATAAGATTTCATTTTTCCTTATTTTTTAAAAAAGGATGTGTCATCTTAAACTTTTCTTGCTCTAAATGACAGGTATTTAAGCTGTATAGGGCTTCTGTCGCAACTGAATTCCATAATTTTTTAATGATGTATTCTACAGTGAGATAACCATTCAACAACACTGTGCCAAAATGTAGATGTCAGAATTAGACATTGGGTATTTGTGAGTATCTTTGTGTTAAATAATTGCTCCATTGCAGGCTGGAGCACAGAAAAGAGGAAGCAAACAAAACAGAATTGGTACGAAGGTTACTAATTTCAGAACCTGCCTACAGTATGCTGTTGACTACAAGAAGAGTGTGTCATTGTTAAGTGACAAATTGTATGCTATGGAACTCTTAACATGTAGACGTCATATTGACTTGCTGCATAAATCATAAGAAAAATCAACCCATCATGGTTTTCCGATGTAACCAATGGGTGTAAGGCTAACCCTTTCCCCCTCTGTCAGCAATCAGTCAAAAGTAAAGAAGACGCATTAGTTCTAGCTGTCTTTGAAAGCAA